GGGGTTTTTTTTTTTTTTTTTTAAAGAAATGGTTTCATGTTTCTCGATGGTCTAGAATTGCCTTAAGATTTGGAGGGCTTGCGGCTAGAGAAAGTAATGAAAAAGTCTCCCTTTCAAATGTTTCTAGAAATCAGGTGCCTCTAGAAATTAGGGGTCCTTTAGGCCACACCTGTGTAAAATATAAGACCTCTAGCTTCTCCTAAAATGCATTTATGTTTGAAAATTGGTGGGCGCACAGGGGGCGCCAGAATGTAGCTTGGCCTAGTGTGCAAAAAACCCTGGAGCCGGTCCTGCATACAGTTGTAGCCAGTGCTGGATTTACGCATAAGCTAAATAAGCTACAGCTTAGGGCCTCACAATCTGCTGGGGCCTCAAATAAAAACACAATATAAAAATGATTTCAAATATTAAAAAGGCGTATATATTTTAAATTTTTCTGAGAGCAGCTGATGTAATTTAAAACAGTAGGGGGCCTCTGGGTTTTGTATAGCTTAGGGCCTCAGCAAGTCTAAATCCGGCCCTGGTTGTAGCCAAAATCACACCCATGCTACCATTAGTGGTCTGGATGGGGGCAGCACATTGATGCAGCGGTTAATTTCACATCTCCACTGTGAAAGAATTATCTTCCCACTTTTCAGCATATTCCAAACGTCCTTAGGTGGTTCAACAGAAAGAATTGGGCGATTCCACTTTATTTAATGCGCAGGGGGAGCTTGCAATGTAATTTAAAGTAATTCGTAAGGGAGACACTTTACTGATTCTCGCCAGTCTTTCTCTGTCACTGAATAGTTTGTGGGCTCGTGATGCAAGTTTCAAAGGGCCATTCTAAGCCATTAGGGGGCAGGAGAGGCACGTGGGCGAGTTAAAGCGCCAGGCCCGCCGTAATTGACAAGAGGCGGGGTGGCGTCGTTTGGACCACGTTCCGCGGCGTTGACGTCGGTTCGCAGCTTGCGCGCACAGTAGAGACTAGAACTGCCCGATCCCTTTCGACCCCTCCCCTTGATCCCGAAGAAGCGTTGCTTTTGACGTGTCAGGTGGTGGCTGGAGAAAGACATTGGCGATCGTATCCACCTGGTTTAGACGCTCTTTCTTTATTAGACTTGGCGGGGCGTGGCTGCTATACAGATAAGCGGCTGCCATGGAAACCCCCGAGAAGCTGCGTCTATGGTTTTATTTGTAGGAGGCGGGAAGGTGGGCGTGGCCTACTGCGTGGCCGAGAGCGGGGGTGGGTGGGACAGCTGGTTGCCATGGGTTCGCTTCCGGCGCTGCCAGGCGGAAGTGGCTGGAATTGTGGCGCTGGCAGGCGTTTGCTGCCGTTGCTCTTGGTCAGTGTGCGGAGGGGAAAGGGGAGAAGAAGAGGGAAGACGCGACTGCCTTTCCTCGCGCAGGGGTGGGGGGAACGAGGTCGGGGGTGAGGGGAGAGGGAAGGCAACGGGGGCGCGCGAGGGACAGGAGGCCGGGGAAAGCGCAATCGTCTGTCGTGTGGTCTGTCATACTTTATTTAACACTGCTGCGGGAGGGAAGGGGGAGGTGGATGTGAGGACGGCTTGAGGCAGGGAAGGGTTAAGGAAGAGCCCTGAAACGGGTCTCGAAAACGCCCCTGTGAGAAAAGTATCAGTGAATGTTTGTGGCTGTCTATATAATTTAATATGTTGTAAATTGGTTCTGCCTATGTGTCCACCTAGCCCTGGACTATCAATTTTGGCTGTTTTCCCATATATACATATAGTACATTTATGTCTGAAGAGACAGGAGGTAACTCCATCAGTCCGAAGAAAATTCACTACCTAAAGGCCTGTATTGCCTTTTGTCATTTTGGTTGCTACTAAGAAAAGGTATTATGTGGCTTTTGCTTTTGTGTTATATGTATATATAGGAAAGCGGAAGAGTGTCAAGCAGCCCTTTCCATATTCAGGCAAAGGATACCTTTTTAGAGAATCCTGGTTGCTTCTGTCTTTCAGACTGACACTCCTGTAGTATGTGTTCAGGGAAAATGGAATGCTTTAGAGGCAGGTGGAGGGGTGAATGTTTCAACTCATTCTAGGTAGGGCGGGTGATTTTTTTTTTTTTTTAGTTGAGCAGAGACAGTGTGAAGCAGTAGGTCTGGGTCTAGGGAAAGTTCTCAGGCCAGGTCATAATCCAGGTAATAATAGCAGCACAATCAACTTTATTGTGCGTGGGGATCAAAAGGTGGTTTCTAATCCAGATTTATTTGCTATACAGGAGCATGGTGGCTGAGGCTGACACAACAGGAGGTGCTGCATTGTGCTTCCTTCTGGGAGATCACACTTGGACAGTTTAAATCCAGCAGAGAGCATAACGCTTTCTCGAGACTGCGTTTGATAAAAACTGCTACGCTTAAATATACAAAACTGCATGTGAGAACGCCGACGGTGCAGAGCAAGTGGATACTGATGGCAAAGAGGTACTGGGGCATTATTAAGGAACAGGACACCCTGTCTGTGTGATGGGAGACTCTGCAGGAGGTGTACATTATTGTGACGTCAGAAGACCAGTCTGCCACTTCTTAGTTCAGTAGTGGGGACTACGAAAACAACTTTTTCGCCCCTGCATTCCAAACATAGAGATTTGTATAATCAGTTGAAGAAGCAACGAAACCTCTTCTGAGATCCTCCTGCACTGATTTTTCAAAGTGGAGTCTTTGAAGGGGGAGGGGGGTGCCAAAAGACCCCCCCTCCCCCAGGAGAGAAGAACTTTAGGGTGGCCACCCTGCATCTGTGTGAAGATGCCACCTATCAGGTGAGAGTCATTATCTTGGAGGGATTCCAATTTTTCTGCTGCAATGTATAACTTTCTGTTAGCCTGCTTGCTACTCTTATTTAGGCATTATGAACTCTGCTTTTAGGATATTGCTCAAGCATGAAATAAATGGATTACGCCCTAAGCTCCTAGCCCTCACATTAGAGCCTGCAGTGAGGTTGGCTAGATAGGACCTGTGGTTGGGATTTAGGCTTCATGGTTTCTAGTTTTCTTTCCTTTTGTCTCTGCTGGTATCACACTTCTGCCCCAGTACATTGAATAAGTTAAGTAGATTTATTTATTTCTGTTTCTGTGTATGTTCTAGGCTCAGAATTGCCTTTGACTTGGTGCAGAGTAATGGCAATCTTGCTTTAAATATGTTAGTCCTTTTGTGGAGGAAAGAATGAGCGATTTCTGAATGATCTCACTGTGTTGGTGTACTTCCTTGTACCAACTGTGTACAATAATTTGGAAGTTGTTACTTAACGCTTTTCATGTGGAGGATAAGCATGTGGAATACCCGTTATGGACGTGCTGATTTCTTTGCTTCCATATATCCTAGATCAGTATAAGGTGTATCCAGTTTGGTCCCTTGTAAGAATGTGTTTTGGTTATTTACTAGTTTATAAAAAGTGAAGGTTCTTATAAACAACAAGGTAACAAACTCAATTAGAAGCAATAGAATAGAGAAATTTGGTTCATAGCATATTAGCAGCAGTACAGAGTCAATTCAAAGCAGATTAGATCAGCAGTATAGAATCAATTTAAAGCAGCTCAAAAGATCTATTCAGCCCATCCCACAATAACAGTTAGCTATCAAAGGTCTTTCAGAAAAGAGGAGTTTTAAAGATGTCACTGAATTGCCAGCAAAGAATAGTCTGTGTGCTGTAGTGGTTAGATTGTTGGACTAGGATTTAAATTCCTTACCCATCATGAAGTTTGTGCCATGAAGTGACCTTGAACACGCTGCCTAATCTACCTTTGGGGGTTGTTGTGAGGATAAAATGGAGGAGAATGATGTAAGCTGCTTTGGTTCCCCAATGGGAAAACAAACAAAAGATGAGAGCCATGCCTTGTTGGGGAAAAGGTTCCACAGTTTGGTGACTGAAGAAGCCTGCTGAGAGTGCAGGCTCTTGCAACAAGGTATCCCTGAATGAACTTGATATAAGGAAAAATGGCCCTTCCAGGGCTAGATCTTTTAGAGAACATAAATGTCACGTGTTTTCCTGCCCTAGAGTTCTTGCCGTTGATGTCTGAAAGGCTTGAGACTGGTGTAGCAGGAATAGGATGGGAGAGATGAACAGCAGAAAATTTGATGATTCAGGAGAGCTGACACTGAAGCTCTTAAAAATAGTAGAGGGAACCAACAATGAACAGCAAAGGCTAGTCATGGGGCCAGAATGGTACAGACAGTAACAGGGCTCAAAGGGAGAAGATAATAGGAGCAAAAGTGAGAAGCTGGGGGAGGCATACAGGGTAAAGTATTGTGGTGCCCTCATTGTCTCAATGCATAGCCTAGGGTTAAACAATTGCAGGTTCCATGACACCAAGGAATTTTAGTGCCTTGCATCTCCAGTTAAAGGATCTGGCAGCAAGTGATATGAAAGACACCTGCCTGAGTCCCTGGAGAGCCACTGGCTGTCTTGAGTGGACACTACTGACTGTGACGGACCAGTGGTCTGATACAGTATAAAGCAGCTTCCTGGGTTCACATGGTTCTCAATAGAAGTACGAAGCCTATTTAGGTGAGGAATAGAGATTAATTTTTTTTATTGTGATGACAATCAGGGTTACCCCATATTTATATATCTGCTACAACACTATTGTTATTGTTGTTCAGTCGCACAGTCGAGTCCGACTCTTCGCGACCCCATGGACCAGATCACGCCAGGCCTTCCTGTCTTCCACCGTCCTCTGAAGTTTGCTCAATTTCATGTTCGTTGCATCGATGACACTGTCTAACCATCTCATCCTTTGCCGTCCCCGTCTTCTTTGACCTTCAATCTTTCCCAGCATCAGGGTCTTCTCCAGTGAGTGCTCCCTTCTCATTGGGTGGCCAAAGTATTTGAGCTTCAGTTTCATTATCTGGCCTTCCAGGGAACAGTCAGGGTTGATTTCTTTTAGGATTGACTGATCTTCTTGCAGTCCAAGGGACTCTCAAGAGTCTTCTCCAGCACCATAGTTCAAAAGAATCTATTCTTCGGCGCTCGGCCTTCCTTATAGTCCAACTCTCGCAGCCATACATGACTACTGGGAATACCATTGCTTTGACCATGCGGACTTTTGTTGGCAGGGTGATGTCTCTACTTTTTATCATGCTGTTTAGGTTCGCCATCGCTTTCCTCCCAAGGAGCAGGTGTCTTTTAATTTCATGGCTGCTGTCACAGTCTGCGGTGATCTCGGATCCCAGGAACGTGAAGTCTGCCACTACTTCCACGACTTCCCCTTCTATTTGCTAAGGAGTGATGGGGCCGGATGCCATGATCTTAGTTTTTTTGATGTTGAGCTTCAAGCCCACTTTTGCACTCTGATCTTTTCCCCAGCAATCTTAATTCCCGCTTGTGATTCATCCAGGCCAGCATTTCGCATGATGTACTCTGCATATATATTAAATAAGCAAGGTGACAATATACATCCTTGTCGTACTCCTTTTCCTATGCTAAACCAATCAGTTGTTCCATATCCGGTTCTAACTGTCGCTTCTTGGCCCTTATACAGGTTTCTCAAGAGACATGTGAGGTGGTCTGGTACTCCCATCTCTTTAAGGACCTGCCATAGTTTGTTGTGATCCACATAGTCAAAGGCTTTAGCATAGTGAATGAAGCAGAAGTAGATGTTTTTCTGGTACTCTCTTGCTTTTTCCATAATCCAGCGAATGTTGGCAATTTGATCTCTACCTCTTCGAAACCCAGCTTGTACTTCTGGCAGTTCTCTATCCACGTACTGTTGAAGCCTAGCTTGTAGGATCTTGAGCGTGACCTTGCTAGCGTGTGATATGAGTGCAATTGTGCGATAGTTTGAACATTCCTTGGCATTGCCCTTCTTTGGGATTGGAATGTATACTGACCTTTTCCAGTCCTGTGGGCACTGTTGCGTTTTCCAAATTTGCTGGCAAATTGAGTGCAGCACTTTAACAGCATCATCTTTTAAAACTTTGAATAGCTCAGCTGGAATACCATCACCTCCATTAGCTTTGTTGTTAGTAATGCTTTCTAAGGCCCATTTAACTTCACATTCCAGGATGTCTGGCTCGAGGTCAGTGATTATACTGTCGTGGTTGTCAAGGACATTGAGGTCTTTCTTGTATATTTCTTCTGTGTATTCTTGCCATCTTTTCCTAATCTCTTCTGCTTCTGTTAGGTCCCTACCATTTTTGTCCTTTATCATGGCCAGCTTGGCAAGGAACACTCCCTTGATTTCTCCAATTTTCTTGAAGAGAAAATGTTATAATACTATTGTTATAGCTTCTAAAAATGATGAGAACCTGTGAAAAGTTTAGGGTTAGATTTTGTGGTAGTAATAATTAGAAAGTATGGTTGAAAAATAAGTCTGGCTGGGGGACTTGTAAAGCTCAAGACAATTTGTCAAGGCCTGGCATAACCTTTGGTTATAACTGATGATGGACTACACATCTTAACATACCTGTCTCCTTTGGTGTAGCCAGTTTGGTGTCGTGGTTAAGTGCGTGGACTCTAATCTTGGAGAACCGGGTTTGATTCCCCGCTCCTCCACTCGCACCCGCTGGATGACCTTGGGCAAGTCATAGTTCTGATAAGAGCTGTTCTTGAAAAATAGCAGTTTCTGTCAAGAGCTCTCTCAGCCCCACCTTACCTCACAGGGTGTCTGTTGTGGGGAGGGGAAGGGAAAGGAGTTTGTAAGCCGCTCTGAGACACCTTTGGGTAGTGAAGGGCGGGGTATAAATCCAATCACTTCTTCTTCTTCTTTACCCCAATTACTTCCGTATCCAAAGTGGAACGTGTAGCAAGAGTGCTATTTAGAATTGCAGGCTACTGATAGTTTTTCCAAGATGGATAGCGACCAAAATAACAGAGACAGATTGTTGAGTTTAGCCATGTGCTATAGATGCAAGAAAAGCTCTGCAGAGGACTGAGCTTCATAGCCAGTATCCAAGTTGTTTCCCATATTTCCGAGTAGGAATGGATTTTTCTGGTCATATTAGTGCACAGCTTCTGAGAGGAATTGTTTGTTTAATGTGTAGTTTGGCTCACTCACTTGAGTCTTCTGATTGATTTACTGCTCCCAGAACCAAACAAGGTACTTCTGGCATCAGGGATCTTGTCTGCTTCTGCTTTATTTAATGTCTTCTTTCAAATACATTAAAGCTTAAATTAAAATTACTCTTGCCAAGCCCACAGCTATTAGATGTGGGTGGTGGTAATAATTGTAATTTTTACATAGTTGCTAGAACTTTCTAATTGCTTCACATTATTCTCTGTAACCCTTAGGGAAGATCAGTTTTGTCATCCCTACGCTGTAGCTTGTTGCTGCTGAGCGACAGTTGCTTGCCTAAGGCCACCTATTGAGTTTATTCCCAGGTGAGGTCTGAACGACAAAGTTCTAGTTCAAAGCACAGTCACTATTGCTACAGCTGATGGGGACCTTCCTTATGTCTGGGGAATTTGAACCCTAGTCCTATGGTATCTGACATGGGTTTCTGTTGCCACTATTATTTGTTCTGGTACAAATGTGAACATTATTTTGGCTAGTACTCACAATATGCAGTCATAATTCTGCATTGGAACCGGGGAGGGGGGGAGTAAATAGTGATCCAATTGATGCAGATAGAATTGTGGTCAGAGTACTGTCTCTGCCAAGCTCTTGTCTGTATTGACAACCAGCTCAGGTAATGGCACCATGCAGTGCCTTGCCTTGATCCAATTTGCTGTTTGTTTCAGAGTTTTACCATATATGGCCTTCAGGGCAATTCATGAAATACTTCAAAAATATTGGTTAGCAACAGAACCATGATAGTAGACAGC